GTAGGTGTAGGGTAAGTCTCCAGGAAATGACAGAAGGGCACTGTAAAGTCCCCAAGAGGAATGGAAACAAATGTGTCTAAGTCTGTTTACCCTTATCCGGAGGATACCCATACAGAGTTTTGGTGACAGGCTCCAGAAAGCCCCCTAAACCCAGCAGCCTTTACCAGCAGCTGGTGTTCTCTCCTTGGCCTTGGTCGCCTTTACTGGCCCTTTACTTGCCCCGGACACACACACACATGTCCATACACATGCAGAGAACTAAGTGTAGCCATGTCATCACAAAACATTAACAGGCAGTTACTAATTTATCCACCAATCACGAATTTCACCTGTGGTAATAACTAACATATCAAAGTGTTTTTCCTGCAAATTGTTGATTAAATGTCCACCTGTGCGTTTGCTCATTTGCAATCTAAGCGTGTGTTCTGCAAACAGTCCCACTCCACTGGCTCAATCCCTGTGATTGTGGAGGATGAAATACTAAAAACCATAGTTCAGCTACAATTCCTATACCAAGTGTGTAAGCATGTGCATGTGAGCATGTGCATGTGAGCATACAGTATATAGTAGCTTTGCATATGTAATTTGTATTCAGCGTCTGATGCGTCTCTGTGTACGTGTGTGTGTGTGCAGTTATCTTTGTGAGGACTAGATGTTCTCAGAGTGAATGCAGGACATGGGAGCATAGTTGATACTATCTTGGTTATTACTGAATTGGGGATTCAAGACTAGGTTTACAGTCACAGTTAAGATTATGAGTAGGTTTAAGTCAAGTTTAACATACGGTATCAGACTTGGTTCAGTTCAAAAGTCATGACACTGATCAACATCTGATAGATATCTACTTAATATAAATTTATATAGGAACAATGGAAACACTATTGTTAATATTTTATATACAGTATATTTAATTTATATATTATTCATTTATATTAGTGAGTTTTGTTGTGTTTTTATATTTAAATTCTTTATCATTGTAGAACTGTTACCTTCTGCTGATGCAAAACCCTGATTTTCCTGATATGATCTTTAACAGCACTTGAAAATATTGTCCTAACAAAGCAACACACTTGGAAGCTGAATAAACACACTCACTCCCTCAGAGCCGCTCTGAAATGAACTGGAGCTCGAGTGTAATGTTTATCTAATAACAACTTGTGACTGCAAAACCTCTGGCTGCTGTTACACCAAATGGTCACTTTGGTGACAGAGATGTCTTTTCAAGTCTCACCTTTTCCTCCCTGTTTTCAGATTCTTGTCTTGCTCTCTCCCTCCCAGACACACTCTATCCCCCCCTCACCCTCCCCATGAATTTTTCTTTTCCTCTCTCTGGCTTCAGCGAGTAGCTCGTCAGAAGGCTGGGCAGGAGGTCTGTGGTCAAACTGGCCATTTCCACACTGTGTTCTGCTGTGCCTGCTGACAGAGCTATCAGATAACTTAGTTCTGCCTCTCCTCTCCCTGCTCCCAGCATGTGTGTGTCTGGATTTTAGGCTTTATATGTGCAGTGTAACTGGGTGTCCTATATGAATTTGTGTCATTGACGTGATTTTTAATTCACAATGAAAGCTTTAGATCATCACACGCACACATACAAACATAGACACTCATGCACACACACAACCAGTGAGTGCATGTGCTGCAGTTGGCTGCAAACCGACCGGAGTCCATAGCTCCCTCTGTTGGCGTGCAGCGACCTACAGTCTCTCATTGTCTCCCTCTCTTTCTCTCCTGTGTTGGCAGCTCGCGTTGCCTTTACAAAAGCCAAGTTCAGCAGCATGCGCGTTATCAATTGTTTAGTTTGATTTTTATCAGTATTGTTTCAGCTTTTCTTTTTTATAGTAAAAAACATTAGCCCACATGTTTGCACTGTTCATCATTTAATTTAGCCTAATTATCATTCAGTGTCAATAAGAACAATTTAATTACTCACACAGGGGTCATATTGTTGTCGTCCAGCCTTGTTTGCAGTTGTAGTCTCAGCCTGGTCCTTGGTGTATGACTGGCAGGCGTGTGTCGAGAGGTGGTCTGAGGTCAGCTGCTTAAGTGACCACCTCTTGAATTTGTTAAAGACTGTTTTGACGAGCACAGACACACACACACATACTGTCCTCGATGAACTTGCTGTGGCTTATTGAGTGGTGTGATGGATGTCGGTGAGAGTTGCAACCGATCATTCTCTACAGATGTCAACAGGCTGCCACCACAGGGTCACACGCATACAGTCGCAGACAAAAGACATGAGGGAGAGATCAGAACTAACAGCGTACAAGCTTTTACATAACAAGTGAACTGCAAAGAGGATGCAGGCAAGTCCATTCACACATGCGTACAATCATTTACTGTGATGGTTATTATTTAACATGTCTTTTACAGTACAAATGAATGGAAATGTGATTTCCAGGGAGCCAGCAAACACACAGATGAACACACAAGGTATTTTCTTGTCTTTTAATAGGTTTGCGTTCAAGAAACATGCATGGCAGGTTTGTCCAGTGAGAGAGAGAAGTGGCCTAAAGGGGTCACTGTGAACATACAGTGAACAAGAAGCAATCAATAGTCAGGGGGGGCGGGGTGAGTGAGGAGAGGGGTCAAAGAGGGAGAGAGCGTGGTGCACAGCTTTAGTGTTTCCCCATAACACGTCTCCCCTATTTACATAAAACACAAAAGTTGTTAAAGCAACAGTCACAGCAAATATGCAGAGTAAAAACTTAGAGTTCATTGTTATGCCTTTTTTTTATCAAACACAATTTGTGTATAAGTTGGCTGTAGCCTAAAAATCACTTTCTAACACAAATGGCATAAATGTGTAAATCACAGAATTCTGCTAAAGAAAATGTCCCTGAATATTTTCACAAGTAAAAAGCCAGAAAGTGTTGTCTCCACAAACATAACCACAGACGGTTTGGTTCATGGTTTATAAGTGAAATTAGTTTTTCAAATGGTTCTGTTAGTATTTCAACCCTCAAGCAATGGAACTTACATCCATTATAAACATTAGACATATTTTTGACTTGTTTTTTTATTTATGCTACATGTTATTTTGTATTTCTAGTATACATTATAAAAATGTATTTCCCATGAACCAATGTGGTCTGAAAACAAGAGACAAGTGAAGATAAAGGAGAAAATGCTTAAATGTGGGGAATTACGTTTCCTGAAACATTTCATATTTTTCAATACATTATGTTGTACAAAACATTATTACTGTATCTGAATGTCTCTACACAGATACAGCAATAAGAGATGTCTGTGTTTGTGTTGGAGGCTGAGGTTTTGGTAAAGGATTTGTTTGCCCGGTAGTGATGACAGCATTGATTCACACTCATCTTTGTCGATGCTTATAATCCTCTGGATACATCATAACAGTGTGTGTGTGTGCATGAACCGCATAGCAGACACGTCTGTCTATGTTTTCTGTGTATTTCACTTCTGTAAATTCTTCAGGTCTTAGAATTAAGTACTAACAGTATTCGCTATGGGTATCAGGGCCTGCTGACTTGTCTTTGTGGCTCCACACAGATGCTCTATCAGCATACAAAGACAAACTGTGTGTACATTCTGCATTATATCCATGTTATACTGTGACAGTTAAAAAACAGTATTTTAGTAACATAAATATATGGATAACCTGCTGTCCACTGGCAAAACTGAGGTGTTAAACTCAGAGTTTAAACATGTCTGTAAAGAAAGAGGGAGAAAATCAGGCTGTAGTTACTGCTGCACATACACACATACATCAAAGCAGAGATTGGTTTCAGGAAATGTTTTACTATCTGTTCTCTTCCAAAGCTGCTAATCACAACCACTCTCTTTCATCTCTGCACCCCACCGATTCCTTCCTCTCTGCCTCCCTCTCTCTTTCACACTTCTCTCTTCCCCCTCCATCCTGTGTGCAGCAGTGTCGGACTGGTAGAAAAGTCAGATGGAAAGGAGGGAAAATTTAGAAAGAAAGGAAGGAAGAGTGTGTGCATCATTGTAGCAAAGCAGATCAGAGTCTTCCTGCAGGTTTCCCATTTTCTCTTTTCGCAGAAAAGACCCTACCCTCTCTTGTCACATTTAGTCTTTCTTCTGTCTCCTGCTCTCTCTGAGACTGAGGAGCGGCGAGCTAATTCTCCTAGAGAATCCCTCTTGCACCAACAATTCCCACATTCCGGCATGTTTGTAATCTCGGAAGTACTGGGAACACACAGCCTGCTGTTGCCGAGATGACAGGGAGATTGACGAAACAGCAGGCACCAGGGAAAACCTTGTCCCAACGATTTCACAACAAAGGACAAGGGCCTTGGAATTGCAATAATCCCGTATTTTACTGCTGAGCTGTGCTGGGCTCTGCTGTGTCTGTGTGTGTGTGACATATTATTTAAGCTTAGGTTTTAGGGTCAAACTTACACTTTTGCCTTTGATCATGTAAATCTGGATTTGATTAGGTCAGTATTGTATTTTGATACAAATCCATATCTTCTACCTGAAATACGCCTCAGAACGTAGTGGAACTCGAAACTCCACAGCCTTTGCTTTAATGAGTTTTAAAACATTTTCAGGACTGATTAAAAGACAAAGAAAGGCAGTTTGTGCACATGGCCTTTTAACATGCAGTTTTTTGCTGGTATGCGGCTTCCGGTGCAGGCACATGGCGAGAGGCTTGTGAGAAGACTTGAGAGACAAACAAAAAGATTGTCTAATAACGAGACAAAGAAGGAGAGAAAGGGAAAGAAGAAGAGCGGGTTGCCTTGCCTTAAATCTTCCCCTCACCTGTCTTTCTCTTCTCCTCCCTCCCTCTCTCTTCCCCTCTATGGCTTTGTCTGATCCCTCCCTCTCCACCTGCTCTCCTCCCTCTCTCACTCCATGTCCCCACCCCCTTACCCCGCCCCTCCCCGCAGCCATTGGTTAAACATCCACCAATCACAGCAGAACCAGGTCCTAAGGGACTGCATATGCAAAATGCTGCTTAATATTCATGAGCCTCTATCGGGGCTTTAAGTCGTTGATTAGGACAGCGGCACAGCTTTCCGTCCCAACTGCCTGGCTGGCTGTGTGTGTCTCTATCCCACTCTCCCTGGCGCTCACATAAACACGCTGCGCGCGCACACACGCTCCTTCACAGCTACACACACGCCGAGCCGATCAGTGCAGGCAGCGCAGAGCCTGGTAATTGTATTGCTCCCTCCAAGTGGAAGGAAGGACCGACAGAGGAAGGCCAGAGAGAGAAGAGGAGGAGGAGAGAGAAGAGACATAAAACTTTGATCTTTTCTTTGAATTTTCTTGTTTTTCCGTGGAGGAGGTTGACATGAAAATGACCCGGTATCGCCGATGGATTCGGTAGGACACCCGTTATCCGAGTGTTTTTTAATGCACTCTGAACAAGAGTAGGTAAATTTTATCTTTTAATTTGATCCTCATTCAACCTGCCATTGCTTTACAGTGCCTGTATGTGTGTGCATGTGCTGGCATGCAGCGCAGGTGGCCGAAACCAGCGGCCTCGTGTCAAGGTTGCTTCTGCTGTCAGGTAGCACGCGTCTACTGTGTGCGTGTGCGCGCGCGCGCGTGTTGTAGTATCTGGGCACCAGCTCTTAGTCAGTGGGTAGAAGTGCGGAATCTGTCCCTCCACCTGGGAGCGAGACACACCTGCGCGCGCGCACACACACCAATTAATAACGCAAAGTCGCAGTTTCTCTTTCATTTTCTCAGTTTTAAGTGCTTGTTTTACTTTGAGTCAAGTTCTTCTTAGGACTAAACATCAGCTCAGCCAGGGCATGTTTACCTGTGCGTGTGTTTATGCTCGTCCACGTGTTCGCTCAAGCGGACAATCAGCGAGGTTACAGGAATAACGTGGGAGCACGGGAGGAAAGGGCCCATAACAGAGGATGGAGGAGGAAAAGGGGGAGAGCTGCGCTCTTAAATGCCAGAGGAGGTAAAATTTCGGACGGGCAGCTCAGCGTGTGGCCGCGCACAGGAATTAGAGACAGTTAAACACAGACACGCACAAGTGAGTGCCGCGTTGCTCTTTTAGGTGTTGAAGTCACTGTTCAAAATGCAGATTAACTGACTGGCGGAGTGGAATGGTGTGTGCGTTAACTGTGCGTGGAAGGTGTGTTTCATGGAAATACAAAATTAGGGCAAGCAAACTGATATGTAATAGTAAGTATAGCGAGCTGTAGCCTCCACACACTTTCAAAGTAAAACCTGGATGTATCTGGAGTGTGAATGTCATTCAGTAAGTAGGATGAATTCACTAATGGCACTGATACGGTCAAATCTGCACTGCTTTGAATTAATGGAAGGATTTTACAGTGAACATATGAAAAATAAATTATATGTGCAGGTTAATTTTGCTCTAAGTGGTCATGGCTTCACAGTGAATAAATTAGAATGAGTTGCATTGTATCACAGCCACAGTAAAAGTATCATTACGGGGATAGTCGGAGGTGGAGAGCTGAAGGAAGTCAAAGCAGGAGCGGGTGCACAATGGTGATGTTTCCAAAATGATTAAAGATCATGTTTGTGTGCTCTGAAGCGGTCTCACCTTAGTGTGTGTGTGTGTGTGTGTGTGTGTGTGTGTGTGTCTTTTACCTGCAGAGACCCTCTCACCTACACAGCATGAACAACAGAGAGGGACTTTTAACCCAGAAAAAGGGTGAATAGACAAATAACACTTATTTCCCACTGATCTGGTTCATTTAGAAACTAAATGTTGTTAGCCTGAGATTTGCACACATCTAAAGAGTGGCTCATTTTGCACAATTTTGTTGCTTTTAACATGAATGATTAAATAAATCCTAAAGGGATTTTTAATAATTATTTGAATATGATAAATCAGGCTTTTATCTGAGTGAAAACTCTTGAGAACAAGCTTTTATACTGTACATGCTGATTTCCTATTGTTAGTCAAATAATTGGAAAGTGTGAATTCAGTACATTTTCTGCTGTAAGGACTCTTTACACTGAGTTTGAGCATCTGTCTGGTCTTTCAACTGCCAAACAGTGTAGTGTATTTAAATAACGAAGGTTTAAAACATTTAACTCTGGTTTTTAATAGTGAGTTAGACAAAGGTGAACACTTCTAACAGCATTTGGTCCATAGTGTGTGAGAGCTGTGTTTAGAAACTAAGCACAAATATATTGACCATAAAACACTTTTATGTCAGACGATTACTAACAGAATGTTCCTGCTTTACCTGTGTGTGTGTTTCTGCGAGTGTGTGTGAGCTATTCTCACATTTTTTTAGAGAAACCTTGTGGCCCATTCCTCCATCTGTCTGCGTGCCCGCTCCTTCCTCCATCCATCCATTCATCCATCCACTGCTCTGTTTTCTCTGCTCAAGCTTCCCCTCCTTTGCTCTCAGGCACAGCTTTCCTACACTAATTAAAATATTAGGGATAATGATGATCATACCTATAATAATAATAACAACAACAACAAGTACCGCTTAAGCTGTTAACATAATTGCATTCCCCTCATGCCACCATATACATACCATTTGCATATCATTAGGACATTTTCTACAGTGACTTTAGTGAATTTGGTGGTGTTTGTCAGTGAGTGTGAAGGAGACCGTGGTGAGACTCGCACAGCGGCCGTGCAGATCCTTCAGTGTGAGCGATCAAGAGAAACCCAAGGCAGCATAAGTGATTTCAGTCAGAATTATTTTCAGTCAAGATTTTTGTCTAGATTTATTTTTTTATGCATGGCAATGTTACGCAAATAAACAGTTTTAGTTAAAAATCAAAATTTCTGCTGATTCAACTGCAGTGGGAATGACACAGATTGGTACAGGTTTGAAATTAAATTTGAAGAAACAAATAAATACAACACTCTAAATGCATGCATGCCTGAAAAATACAAAGAAAATCATTTAGTGCTCGTGATATTTATTTCCTGTTTGAACAGATTTTATGAATAATCTGTGAAGTGTTACATCCTATTGTGTTAAGAGAAGATCAGTTGTTTCTGCTCGTTGTGGAGCCATATCTTCACCTTAAAGAGTTGAAATCATTTTTATTTTTTATTTTCCTGGTGTCACTTTAGGTGGGTTAGGTGAAGAAAGTCTTATTTTTAAAAACTGAAGGCTGAGCACTGCTTACACTGCTAATTCAAACTAATTGCTAAGACTTTTTTTGCCTACAACATAAATAAACCTAGCAGCTTTACAATACAGTCCTAGTCACTTAATAATAATGTTACTTTGCTGTTATTTAAAATTTTGGAGGAGAAAATTGAAACATCTATGGGATTAATGAGAAGGAAAAGAAATTTTTGCTCACTTCCCTTCAAAGAAAATTAACATATTTATAATATATGTTTCTTTTGGCTTATTTGTTTTTGTCAGTCTCCCCCTACACTCATTTTCTTCAGGCCATGAGGGACAGAGAGCACTAGAGAGGGAGAGGTAATGCTGACTGCAGGGGGGGGACAAGGGGCACCAAAGAGAGATTGCGTAAATTAAAATCCCTTTAATCTCCTTATAAAATCATTTACTTAATTCATCCGTCAAAGCATGTCAATATGTGCTGCACAGATTTGTTGGTTGTGTGTGCATGTGCATTTGCATCAGTTTGTTGTCGTGCCGTGTTCGTGCCGTATTGTTGGCCTGTATGAGGAGGTGATGTGCTTCTTTTTTGTGTGTCTGTTTGCTTGTCCACACACCCCTACGGCATTCATTGTTTGTAAGCTTTTGCATTCTCTAACCCTACACATGCAAACACACAGAAACGCACACACTGGTGTGTACGGTGGCCTGTCTCTCGTGTGAAGGGTCCGGGCATTCCGCTGGTAATTTGGTCCCATAAAGGGCGAGGGATGAGCGAGACAGGCAAAGCGAGAGATGGGAAAGGGAGTGGGGGGGTTGCTTTTGTCTGACACCAGCACTTAGGGGTCCGCTGGACACCACGTATACGCATGAGCGCCCTCATACATGCACGGAAATCTATGCTCGCACACATGCACAGCAATGAACTCGCACACATTTTTGAGCATTTGCAGCAAAAAAGAAGCCAAATTGTGTCAAAAATGCACGTACACATTTACATGTACACGTGCACTTACACGCTTAAGCAGATACTGACAAATTATCGCACACCCAAACACACATTTGTACACAAAGCCACAGACAGATGACAGTGCAAAAGCCTGGGCCAAGCCTTGATGATGTGAATTTCTCAGATTTATGCTCAGTCAGTGTGTGTGTGTGTGTGTGTGTGTGTGTGTGTGTGTGTGTGTGTGTGTGTGTGTGTGTGCAATCCTAATGTCGGGATGGGTTCTTAGTCCAGGCTAGAGGTGCAAAGCCAGAATTTGTAGAGGTGCTGGTTGCTAGGAGACAAAAAGCACCCAGCTCGCGGT